AAGGTTGGTTACATCTACACCTCCTTTCATACTTCCTCCTCCCACTCCTCCTCCTCCCACCCCTCCTCCCACCCCCTCCTCCTCACCTTTCCGGTTTCATTCTGCTTCTCCCCCAGTGTACTAGTTCCCTTCTCCCTGCCATGACCAAATACCCGAGAGCAGCAGCTGAAGAGAGTAGAAGGTTCTTTCGACTCATCATTTAGGGCATTTAGTCCTTCACGGTAGGAAGGCAATGATGGTACACCTGTGGTGCTGGGAGCTTGTGCTGTGGCTTGTTCCTCACCCAGGGAAGCAGGGGCAGAATCAGGAATCAGGGAGTAAGTTCCAAGCAGGGCCTGTCTATACACCCAAAGGTTCGTTCCTACAGCCTCCCATGCCCCAGCAAGGCTCCATGCCCAACGCACCGTCCCCGAACAGCGCCACCTACCGGGACCAAGCATTTAAACACATGAGCCTATGGGGGACATTTCACATTCAAACCGCTGGACTTGGGTATTTGAGTTCTAGACACAAGGTTGTTAATCAGGGGTGGTTTCACATACCCCCACCGCAGGGAGTCAATGGCAACATCTGCAGATATTTTGGTGGTTATAACCTGATGGAGTTGGGGAGTGGGAACGCTACTGGCATCTCCTGGGCAAAAGGCTAGGGCTACTGTTAAATGTTTGTGGTGGGCAGGCCGCTTCACAGCAACACAGACTGCTTTGCCCAGCGGCACCAAGGTCGAGAAACCCCAGTCTCCAAACATCGGCAAGGAAGGAGTCTGGAGCAGGCGGTGAGTGCTACTAGCTGTGCATCATGCACTGGGCAGGCAAGGAACAAGGACTTGGGGCGACGCCCGACCAGCAGCCTATCTATTCTTAGTGGCCACAGTGGAGACACTCTACCTCTTAGATGAGGAGGGCCATGATGACACAGCACCGTGAGAATAATCTTGCCCCAAAGTTGAGAGACCTTGGTCCAAAGGTTAAATATAGACCAGACGGTTGCATCAGGTCCCTTGGGAGGGCCGTCTTTCTCCACGTCTGTGCTTGGGACACCTGGAGACAGCATTAACTTGTCTGTCATGAACTCAACATTTAGAAGTGATGGCTGCCAAAGAAACAGGGTGAGGCAGGACTGTAAAAAGCTCGCTCAACTTCTTTGTTGGTGCCATGAGTCTTAGCTCATTTACCTCAAAGATAGAAAGATCATAAGACTTCCAGGCGAAGTGTTCCAGGTGAGTAAGTAAAGGAGAATTCATGTAAAACTCCCTTGGAGAAAGCTATTTTCCCTACAAGACGACCTCTGTGGTCCTCTTGGCTGCTGCTAAGCGACTGGCCAGTAGGTGGCGCCAGGTCACCACATAAGAGGATTCCTGCCCGGCCTACAAATTATTCCTGTCAGTCTTGGAGTGCAATTTACTCCGGGAGAGAAAAATAGAGTAACAGGAAAGATTTAGTTCTTAAAATAAGCTAGCAGCTTAGTGAAGCAAACACGACCACGGCAGGTACATTTTCTGGTGGAAAAGGACATTTGCTGCCAGAGGCCCTGGCTGCAGATGCCAAATGATCAAAACACACAATTAAATGAAGTCAGGCAGCAGGCCTGGCCTCACAGGTGAATTTGAGCCATCTGGCGCCCAGTCACAAGTCTGGGATCCGGCCTGGCCAGTCTCCTGTGGTACCGGTCCGGAGGGACCGGCTCTGCCACCCAGACCCCTGTTTTCTCTGTCAGTTCTGGTGCCTGGCCTGGGGTCCCAGCGTGTAGCTGTTTTGTCCATTTGCAGTTGTCACACGATCAGCTTGTCTCTTTCTGGATCGTGGTTTGTGCTTCCTTGCCTGGGAATTGAGCAAAAGGTGGATAGCAGTTTGAAATGTTGCAGAAGAAGCCCCTTCTCCGCACCCCCCCCCCCAACCCCCCAATTTTGAGAGCTAGGTGGCTGGAAAATGCTGCGGAGCAGATTCTGATATTTTGGGAGAGTCAGTGCAGGCCATTGTGGCAGAGATTTGATGGGGATAAAACCGGGGAGAAAGATGGTGGGTTAAATAGGCAGTAGGATGATAGTTTTTACCAGCATATAATAATTATACATCATAATGAGTTTCATTATGACATTTCCAGACTTGTATCTAAAGCATTTCGACTATGTTCACCATCTCTTGCCCCCTCCCCCTCCTGCTGGTCCCTTCCCTCTTCTCAACAAGCCCCCCTTCAACTTTCATGTCTCCTTGTTGTTGTTGTTATTGTTTCGTCAGGACCGCTCGCAGCGGTATGAGTGGAAGGTCATTTACTGGAGCAGGGCGACTTAGCAGTGGTCATACCACCGAAGAAAGCGTTCCCTTCCCCCAGCAGCCATTCACTGCCCCCAACTCCTCAGGGAGGGGCTGGCCTCCAGCACCCCTTTGCCTCCTGAGATGCTGATGGCTTTGTCCTGTGCAGGTCTTCTCAACGGCTGTGAGCTCAGGCACGACATTGCCATACCATGCCCAGAAGACAGTGTCCCACAGCAAAGCATTTTTGTTTCTTAAAAATGTTGGGGGACCCCCCCCCCATGTATGCCATGCTCTGTTCCCAGAAGGCAAGCACCAGCAGTAAGTCAGTATGACAAACTATAAACAGAATTTATGTAGTCGAATGAAGGAATCAGTAAGTTTGCAGCCCACGGTAGCCTACCAGCCACATTCTGCAGCTGACAAGTGCTACTTCATGAATGATCAGAATCGAAGTCTCTGCACGTTAATGATGCTTGTGAATCTCAGTGGTAGACACCAGGAGCCTGGTGGTGGGACGCCGTCTCCCAAGTCACTTCACGTTAGCAGCGGACCCTCAAAGCTCTGTTCTAAGAAACAGTTTCTTCTTCATGCCTTAGAGAGCAGAAGTGTTCAGGCAGCTAACTCTCATGCAGAGATAAACTGAGAAGTGAAATCCACGTGGGAGTTTGCATCCCTCATCCTGGGACATGGCCGCCGTTCATCTGATGTTTCTCTCGCTGTGGAACACCCGCTCTACACCGTGCCAGTTTCAGGGCACTGAGGGAGAGCTGAGCAGAAACGAAAGTTGGCTCTCTGCCTGAAGACATGGAAATAGGTCCTCTGCTCTGCAGATCCTTCACATATCTGATCTGAGATATGGACGCTTCTAAAATTAACTTAGTGTAGAAGAACTTAAACGAACTGCCCGAGGTTGCCCAAGCACAGATGGAGGTCTGAAAGGTAGAGGAGAAATGACTTCCGGAGGTGAGAGGAGAGATGGAGAAAGGCTGGGGAGGTAGTCAAGGGAGACAGTCCCGAGCCAGGACAGATGCCTGTGGAAGGCAGGGGCTGCCTCTCTACCGGGGTGTCAGAGGGGCAGAGGGTGGGGGTACAGCAGGGGGAATGGAGTACTCACAAGGTCACTGTGAAGTGTGGGGCGAGATGGTTGTTTTTGACAGTGTTGGGGAGTTTAAGGAGGGCAAGGGAGATTTGACCTTGGTGCTTTGAGCTTCAGAAAGGACTCAGCAGGGCCACAGGAAGAGGCTGCCTTCAGTCGGGTGCTGGCATTCCCTGGAGGTTTAGTGATGCATATCCCTCCGCCTGCCCACCCTGGAGCAGAGGTGGGAGAGAAGATTCTCAAGGCTGTGGACAGTACTGGGGCCTCCTTTTTTTTTTTTTTTAAACATTATATTTACAGTGAAGGGATTTCTTCTTCTTCCTCTTCCTCTTCTCCTTCTTCTTTCTTTTTCTCGAAAATAGTTCTAGAAGCTAGCAATATGGTTTAGCAGATAAAGTTGCTTGCTGCCAAGCCTGATGACTTAAACCCACATGGTGGAAAGAGAGAACCAACTCCTACAAGTTGTCTACTGACCTACAAACACGCATACACAGACACAGACACACACAATTAGGATTTGTAAAAATCTGGTCCATTCTACACAATGCCTTGCCGATTGCTAGTCTTCTGTCTGTCTTTTCCAAACAAGCATTAGTGAGAAGTCCGGCCTTCCTCTCTCGGTCTCCAGCCTAAGGTCTTCTCTAGTCCACACCTCTTTATCTATTCACTTCACACTCCATGTGAGGGGGGATGCTGTGGGAAACGCAAAGACGACTCAGCTGCCGGTCCTTTCTTGAGGGGGCTTCGACGTCTGCCTTGAATGAGAAAGTATCGGATGACGGAAGAGAGGAAACGGAGTGCTCCAGGGATTGAGGAGGAGGGGGCATGTCTGCTGGGGAGAGCCAGGAAGGCTTCATGGAAGAGACAGCTCGGCCTTGAAGGAGTTTGGTTTGGGCCACATGGAAGTCAAGGTCTACACCACAGGTGCTCACTGAAGAAATGAATGACAGCAAAGTGAATGGGGCTGATGGAGTGGCATGTCCCCAGTAAGACAGTCAGAAAGACCAGTGTCTAGAGAATAATAATAACTTCTACCGCAGTGTGTTAGGTCTTGCCCCAACACATTTGTGTGTATTGTAACTTAACCCTCACGGCGGCCCTATGACACAGGGACCCCATCTTGCAGTTACAGCGTAAGAAAGACCTAGAAGGGATGAACAAGTTGTCTGAAGTTCACAGCTTGTAATAGGGGGCTGCACTTTGACCCTGGCCTATTGTTGGAAGGCAAGCAGAGAAGTTAGAATGCATCACCTCAGCCTGCACCTGCAACTTTCACCTCCTCTTCAACTCACTGTCACATGTGTCCTTGCCCAGCCTGCACGGTCCAGTCTGATGTCCAGTCTCCTCTTCCTGAGGCTGCACACAGCCCAGGGACCTCCGGGTGGCACTGGAAGCCCCATACAGCATCCCTGTGGGGCACAGGCAATTTCTGCCCTGCTGGCTATGGACACAGGCGCTGAGTGGTAACAGCAAACAGCAGCCGTGGGGGGGGGGGGGCAGGGATCTGGGCCTCATCAGGCTCCTTTCCCCAGTTTAGAATGTAGATTTTGTGGACTCTGCAGTATGGGAAGGATGCCAGCATGCTTTGGGTAATGCAGAGCCCTGCGGACCTCTTGGGCTAAGAACTAATTATCTTTTTTTCATGTCTAAGTTTTCATGCACATAGATGAATAGGCCTCTCCGGGTGTCTGCATTAATACGAATCAGCACAGGATGAAAATGCATTATCATGCTTCTACAGCCCAGAAACATGAGGTATGGGAGCTAGGGATGCAGGCATGGCATGGAGGCTTATGTTTCCTGTGACAAAATCATTCACATAGAGTGAGAAGGTGATAAACGAGTGTGAAATGAAGAAATGAGAGCTCAAGAGTAGTGTGTCCAAGATCTCGTGTCAAGGGAAGGAGGGCGGGGGCTGAAGAGGGTTGTGCATATTTTGATGTCTACTTTGACCATTTATATTGAATCATTAGAAGGCTAACATTGAAGATTTGGGTGATGCTCTTCAAGTTGGCTATAGGATTGGGCTTTCACAATGGTCACTAATGTTCAGACTCGTCATAGGCTAGGAATGTGACATGTTGGAGAACTGTCCCAGAGGGTCCCTATTGGGCAGAAGAGACAGAGGTGACAATTTATTACTCACATTTCAGAGATGGCAAAGAATGCTGATGTGGAGCCTAAGGACAGAGGACCAGCTACAGAGAGGAGCTGCCTGGGAAGAGTGGACAAGTGTGAGACTCTGATTGGTTGTCTGGTTTATGTACATATGAGACAGTTGATGAGATATTGGAATGGGAATGTCCCCCATAGGTGTAGACGTTTGAACATTTGATCCCTAGTTGGTGGCACTGTTTGGGAAGGTTTGGGAGGTGTGGACTGTTGGAAGCAGTAAAAAAGTTTCAGAGTAAAAATGCCTTGCCTACTTCCAGTTTGCTCTCTACTGTTTTGTGCTTGTAGTTTGAAGATGTGAGCTTTCAGCCTCCTGTTCCTCCCACCAAGCCTACCACCATGCCTCTCACCATGATGGACTCTTATCCCTCTGGTGCCGTAAGTCCAGGTGAACCCTTCTTTCTGTAAGTTGCCTTGGTCATGGTGTTTCATCACAGCAACAGAAGAGTAACTAATCCACATGGCTATTCCTACAAAGGCCCAACGTAATCCTGATAGTCTTGCAGAGCTGACCTCTCATCATCCAAATGCTTGCTATGTGCCAGGGAGCACTCCGTGAGTGAGAAGTTGGTTATGCAAGATCATAACAGGGCCAGCAGCACAGCTCCTGTGTCCAGTGGTATTAACGGGCTCTGGGAGTGCCCCATGACAATGACTGGGTCTGATACCATCCATTTCAGCTTAGTTCTGCCATCCTCAGTCACTTTTGGCATTACCTGGGTGATGAGTGCTGCCCCTGGGCATTCGTGCATGTGTTTTAACCTATCAGCCTTGGTTTTTATCGAAAGCTGCAATTCCCAGAGTTGGTGTGAGGACATAATCCTACACAAGGCTTCTCAGTGTCTGACTTTCAGCAGATGGTCATTTTTTAAAGAGTGTTCTTCTAAACATTTATTTATGTGTGTCTGTGTCTGTATCTGTATCTGCACACATATGCCAGAGCACACTTGCAAAAGTCAGAGGCTAACCCACCAGAGGGAGTCCTCTCCTTCCATCATGTGAATCCTGGGGATTGGACTCTACTGGCCAGCCTTGGAAGCACACACCTGCACCCTCTGAACCACCCAGCTAGTCCCAGGAGATGGTCCTTCACTCTGAAGCAATAACATCTGCCTCACTGGAGCCAGGTGGCTGGAGTCAGGCACTGTTAGTAGAGGAGCACAGCTGGGAGCACAGCTGGAGGGAGCAGGGAGCACTCTTAGGGAAGTGGGATCGAGGAGAAATTAACTCTTCCTCTCCCAGCTCCCTGTCTCCAACCCATCCACTGCTCTGAGCTGACGTTCTCATGTTTTGTATTTGACTTAGCAGCAGGATTAAGTGTGCCACCAGGTTCAGGAGACACGGGTGAAGGTGAGTCGGCTGACATTCTCATCTGCATGCAGGGATAAACTGTCCTTGAATCTAGTTCACACGCCAAAGCACAGAGCTATTAGGCTGGACTCTAAGCAGGGCTTTATTGGACAAAAGTGTCTACCGTGGCTCTTCATGCCCGATAGTTTTGGAAGGACAGCTATGCATATTAATCCCTTCCCTTGGCAGACTGAAAACCCCTTGCAAGGAGAACTGGCTTGTTCTGCAGTGCGCCAGGATCTGATGAACTGAAGCCATGATTGTAGGACTCATTTTGGAGGGTCATGCTGCAGCCCGGGGGAGCCCAGGATCTTCTCTGACAGTTGTTTCTGTTACGTCTTAAGTGTCCTTATGCTCTCTTTCTTTCTTTGGTAGTAGGCAATGCGAGTCTTCAGTTTGCTTCTATTACAAGGACGTGCAAAGTTAGTCAAAGTTCTACGCAGCTGGCACGATCACTCCTGCTTAGTGTAAATTTGCAGGGGGTGCATAAACTGAGACAAACCCTGAAAAACTGCCAGACAAGTCCTCCCTGTATTTTTATTTTTGGCTCAGTTCTTTCCAGAAAGGCAAGTGTTGGGGATATTAACAGAGATGTGAGCCCTTAGGGTTTGGGTGTGAATGTCCCCCACAGGTTCACATTTGAATATTTGCTCATCAGATGGTGGCGCTGTTTTGGGAGGTGGAGACTGTCTGCATGAGGCAGATTTCTGGGAGATGGACTTGGGCTTCTAGTCCAGGGCCCCATTTCCTCATTCATTTCTACCCCACCCCCATCTGACAGAGAACAAGCAGGATCATGTTCCCCCCAGCAGCTTCAGGCACTGATCTCACCATGCCTTCCCACCATGATGGAATTCAGCCTCCTACTATGATCCAAAATAGCCTCTTTCTTCTTTAAGTTGCTTCTTTTAGGTACCTGTTCTCAACAAGGAGAACAGTGAGGGTGGCTGGGGGGCTGGTGTTGGGGTGTATGTTAGAAGGAAGGGAGAGTTTGGGTAAGTGGGGCTTTCGTCTTAGAGCAGGGATGTGATTTGGGCTTAATTCTTGGTGATGCCCCTCAAGGAGAAGAAAGGGCATTTGAGAAACTGACATGGAATCAATACATTCTCCTTCATTTTAAGCATCTCTTTGTGAAGATTAAGCCATCACCCACTGCCCATCAGTGATGCTTTATGATGAGAGGGCTATGCTTACAGTGGCCTGGATAGCCTGAAGGTGGGCACTTTTTGGAGATTCACAGTTCATACGGCAGCAGGTTAAACGTTCTGAGTTCTGCTGGGTATAGTGACACACGCATTTAATCTCAGCACTCAAGGTCTCTGAGTTCCAGGCCAGCTGGAGCTATCTCATTTTGCAGACTCTATGTCCCGAGAGTGCTGGGATTATATAGGCACTTGGCTACCATGCCAGGCTCCAATTAGCTTAACCAAGGTCTTTTCAAATTTGATTGTAAACACTTTTTACCATTTTTTTTTTTACACAAATAGTACCTATATTTGAGGAAATTGAGTTAAAGTAAAGGCAAGTAGCACAAACTGAGTTCTGCAGGCACCTGGCCAGGTGCTTTATAGAAATTACCTTTGTGTATTAGTCTTCCAAGCAACCTGTTCTGTTTTGTTTTTTTTAAATCTCCTTTTTCAGATCAAGGATTGAAGTTGAGCAAGGTCAAACTTAAGCTTACCCAGCTAAATGGTGGTGGTGGTGCTGGGCTCTGAAACTTGGTCTGCCTCTCCCATTTTCAACCACAAAGCAGCAAACAGGACGGAATGGGAAACAGAGGCACCCAGTCAAGTCAGCTGCAAGCTCAACACTCTCTCTCTTATAGTCACAGTCAAGTTCATCTACCTGGTGATGATTATTTCTGCCAAGAGAAATACTTGAAGAGTGGCCAGGCCCATAAATTCAAAGGTGACTATGAGGAAGAGTTGGCTGTCCTTGGGCTGAGTGCATAGTGGCATTTAGGTGGGTTAACAGAGGTTACCGCCCTCATTATGGCACTCCCACTTTTAAGAATTCCTCCATTCAGGTGCTGCCCTTTTATGTCTGTTGGAGCCCCGGAGGGCTATGCAATGCACTCCATGCCCTGCTGGAGAATAGCGTGCCATTATAACCCGACGGGGAGAATGTCCGACGAAGGGCTTTGCTGGTCACCTACCCCCAGTGTGTGACATCAGGTGTTTCTGACCAGAGGTTGTCAGCAGGGCTGGGCTTGGTCTAGGGCTCAGAGGGCTGGTTGCAGGGTTGGCTTCCCAGGATGAGGCTGGATGCCAGAGAGTTGAGGACATCACCATCACCATAAAGTGAGTATCTGAGGCCCTCCTGTGCCCACTTCTGTCCCTCTTAACACATGCTTGACACCCCTGTGTCACAAAGGGGTTTCCCACCAAATCTGGCCTCACAGCACAGTTGACAAAGGCTTCCTTTATGTGACCCTTTAAAGGAGAGTTTTTTAAGCTTTTAAAAATTATTTATTGTGTGTGTATGTGTTAGTATATGCATGCTCCAGCATATGTGTGTGTGAATGTGTGTGTGTGTGTGTGTGAGTTGTGTGTATATGTTTGCATATTCATGTACCAGCATGTGTTTGTGACTGTATGTATGTGTGAATGTGTATGTGTGTGAGTGAGTGTGCATGTGTATGTTGGCGTATACATGCTCTAGCATGTGTGTGTGTGAATGTATGTGTGAGTGTGTGTATATATATGTTTGCATATGCATACACCAGCTTGTGTTTGTATGTGTGTGTATGTGAGTGTGTGTGTGTGTGTGAATGTGTGTGTATGTGTGTGGGAATGTGTGTGTGTGTGTAGGCCAGGACAGAAAAGGGCATTGTATTCCTTGAAACCCATGTTATAGGTGCTTATGGGATGCCCTGGTTGCTATGTTGGTGCTGAGATCTGAACCCTGGTGCCTATGATTGAACAGAAAATTCTCTTAACCACTGAGCCATCTCTCCAGGCCCTGTTCAAAAGATCTGACAGAAAACAATCTGTGTGATGGGCATCTGCCATGAGTTCTTTCTTAGAAAAGTAGAGTGGAAGTGTGACTGTCTAAATTCTGGGGGGAACCTGTGACCTTAGGGAGTGTTCTCAGTTCATCTAAGATGCTGTGGTGAGACTTGAAGGCCGGGAAAGTAAAGATGAAGGAGGCCACTTCCCAGGAGGCCACTTCCCAGGAGCCCACACGGATGGGCACTGCAGTTCAGAATGGAGAGGGCTTCGTGAGAGGTTGACAAGGAGAGCGGGGAAGCAGAGTGGCGGGACCTGAGAGTGGGGGTCAGCCAAGGCTTCAGTGAAGCTTGAGAGTGGAATTTCTCTCCCCCCCCCAAGATTTGGTTTTTACGTGTGTGTGTGTGTGTGTGTGTGTGTGTGTGTGTGTGTGTGTGTGTGTGTAAGTGTGAGTTTGTGCCTGTAAGTACTATTCCTGTGGAGGCCAGATGAGGGTGTCAGATCTCCCAGAACTGGAGTTACAGGCACTTGTGAGCTAATGGATGTGGTTTCTGGGAATTGAACTCTAGTCCTCTGCAAGAACAGTCCACATACGACCTTAACCATGGAGTCATCTCTCCAGCCAGAAGAGTTAATATCCCCTTCCCTCCCCTCCCCTTCCCTCCCTTCCAGCACAGAGAGGGTCGCAGGGTCCTTGCTCCTTCTGAACCTCCAGATCAGAGAAGTGAACCCCTTCTCCAGCTGTGGGTGAGTGCCTTCCTGCTGGGCCTGAATGCCAGCCCTGTCCCATCTTGGATCACTGGCTGAGATTGAGAATGCCCCCATTGTGCGGGAGAAAGGCGTTCTCCAGAACTGTCAGGATCTGAATATATACAGCGAGCCAGGCTACAATCCACCCAGGGTAGCTATCAAAAAGAAAATAATGGATATTTCCATATCTGCCAAGATGTCATACCCCATG